ACCTGAGCTGAGACTCAGTCTGCTGGTTCCTGGTTGGACTCCAGCCTTCTGAGCTCCTTTTAGTTCTGTTGCACCGATTCCAGTATTTGACTGGGGCTCCAATCCGGCACTACAATGGTGATATCGGTATCAGCGAGTACCAACAACTAGGGCACGGATACCATCTTCAGAGCCAAAAGTTTCTTCAACTATTGTCACCCATTCCAGGTAGGCAATAAAAGTTCTACTGGATTCACTTTGTTTTAGTCTTTTTCCTGCTTCACTAAGGAAGGCAGCAGCTGGACATGAAGCCATGATGGCGATTATTTTACATCCAGGTAGGATGCAGTTCTTCAGATACACACAGAACAACTTCAAACAGATGGTATCGGCCGATACTGCACAGCCAGGTATCAGGGCCAAAAATTGGCATTGCCGCAACGCTAGTTTTTAGTTGCTGCTGAAGTAAAATAATGTGCAATAAACACCTAATAATGTAGTTACCTAACCTAACAGAGTGTGACTGTAGTAGAGGAGGAGTCCCAGAAGAACGGCGAGTGGCTCCTCATGCCGCTGCTGATTTACATTTTCCTATGCAAACTCTGACAATTTGACCTGTTGGAGCATTTAGGACGTCTGTCTGTCCGCCCTCATAGTGTAGAAGAATAGATTAGAGCAGAAACATGCAAATGGGAGTTTATCTTCCAGGGCAGCTCAGTGTAGAGCAGACAATCACCTTTGTGAGACAGTCAGGCTCATTAGTGACGGCTGGGAACAAAATGTGAAGACATCTGGAAGAAAAACTGGGATATCTTGACGTTAACAACAGAAACTAACATGGAGATTCATCGCTACCTCTGGATTCTCTCCATGTAAGTGAAGTCTACAAATAATCTCTTCCTGATTCTGTCTGAATTTAAAACATTTCAAACATTCCCTCCAACAGGTTGACCTCTTGTGAGAGCGCGGTGAGCGGCTTCAACGACAGGTCGGGTCTGAGCGACACTCAGACGGACTGGATGAAACAGATCCCCGATGAAACTCGCATCTCGGCTATCGCCATTCCTGGAACTCATGAGAGCTTGAGACTCAGTGGAGGACCGTTAGCTGCAGCTCAAGTCTGGAGTTTGGAAGAGCAGCTGAATGTGGGGGTTCGCTATTTAGACATCCATGTTGGCCTTTGGCTTCCGACCAGCAGTGATGTCACCATCCGAGATTCTGCATGGAAGTCTTTAAAGAGCATGAGTTTACGCACAGTTTTCCAGAAGGTTTTAGGATTCCTAGATGCACACAGCGGGGAGACGGTGCTGATGAAAGTGACGCTGCACAAACTTAACAAAAACAGAGGGAAGGAATTGGTGAAAAAGCTGATTGAGAAGTTTGAAAGAAGAATCTGGACAAAGGTAGCGGTGCCACTCCTGAAGGAGGTGCGGGGGAAGATCGTCTTCCTGCAGAATGTAGAGTTTCCGCAGGGAACAGAAAACCATAAATCCTATTTCTTTGAGTCCAACAAGCTGAGAGATGTTGATCGAAAAATAAAGGAGGTCCATCAGCATCTCTGCGGTCATTACATCCTCGTGACGCAGACCGTCGCTACGACATTGGAGAAGCCCAAAGAGCTGGCCCGATTGGTCAACCCGCAGCTCAGTCAGTTTGTGAGGGAACATATGCAGACCTCCACGGCGGGCTGTGTGGGCGTCCTCACTATGGACTTCCCCAGCGCCCATCTGATCAGTGACATCATCAAGCTGAGGGTCTGCCCCTGTGGCCACGCCGGCGGGCCCCAACCTGGACCAGAACCGCCGCGCTCAGGTGAGTCAGCACACACATTAGAGGAAACAGANGGAACATATGCAGACCTCCACGGCGGGCTGTGTGGGCGTCCTCACTATGGACTTCCCCAGCGCCCATCTGATCAGTGACATCATCAAGCTGAGGGTCTGCCCCTGTGGTTCGGCTGCTGGCCACGCCGGAGGGGCCCAACCTGGACCAGAACCGCCGCGCTCAGGTGAGTCAGCACACACATTAGAGGAAACAGAAGCAGAACCGCGGGTCTGAACGGGAGCAGAGACCCGTTACGTCAATACGACCTTAGAACCAAAACCTGAAGCATTTATATCAGAAACCTGGTTCTAGATTAAGGATTTAGATTAGAACCTCTACAACAACAACAGCTGTTAGAAGAAAATAGAAAATAATGAATTTGCTCTTCTACCCCTTATAGAACCCGGACCACAATCGGAACCAGGAGAACATATAGGAGAAAAGAAACCAGGGGCGGCAGAACTAGAACCACATGCACCGGTTCTTCCTGGAGTGCCTTTCAAAATAAAACACAAACAGGAACCCACATGGAGAGCGCGTAACTGCCACAGGGGGCGCTAAAGCATCTGATCAGGAACCAACCTGCAGAATGAAAATAAATGATGATAAAAGTTGAAACTTTTCCTGGTTTTAATTCTCAAAAAACTTGAATCTATGAATTTACCAGATTTCCAAGATGTCAGCCTGAAAGCAGAGAGTGGAGCAGCTGAGAGGAAAACAGGAAGGGAGCTGAAGGCAGCAGGTAAACAAATGAAACAACAGCAGAAAAACAGGAAAGATAAAAAATAAAATGCAAAAACTAAACAACAACAAACATGATTCTACAGGAACAGGTTAGGAGCTCTGTTTGCCTGAGGTCAGGAGAAAAATAAAGCATTTTAAAAACTATTTAGATTTCTTTTTTTAAAGGCAGGCAGATCAGAGTCTGGCTTCTGTCACAGCGGAGCCTCTTTGGCCTGGAAATAAACAGCCTGCCATGCTTTCAGAGGTGGAAGGGAACAAACATAAATGTTTAAATCGGGTCCTGGAGGACACAGGAAGCTGGCTCTGCAGTATTATGCTCAGTATGTTCGGTACCAGTCAGCAAACCAGCAGTTTGGACCCTGGACTGGTCCAAGCCGTGGGTCAGAGAGCTGCAGTGCTCCAGTCTGCAGGTAACAGCTTCACCCAGAGACAGGCTGGACCGCCGCGTCTTCCAGTACAGTTAGAGGGAAACGTCCAGATAAACATCCAGGTGTCTAACGTTAACCCTGCAGCAGAAGGATAGAGAACCCAGAACAGAACAACCTCTGTTCTGCTTTGGTTTGATGACTTTTAATTTCACTTTTCTTTTTGCCCAACTTACTTTATTAAGTTAATCGATTTTAGCTCTGAGTTATTAACTTCCTGTAAGAGTTTAGAGTTTTCTTTTTTTAAAAGAGCCTTAGAAATTAAAATTCATTATTATTACTTAGTGTGGTGTAAATGTAAAATATAATACAGTGTAAGTGTATAATGTGAAGGTTCAAACGCCGCCTTAAACTTAGGCTCATGTTAACCCGTCTCTCTCTGGGGCTGACAGGACTTCTTGGAACCTTGTCTTTGTTCTACTGCTTAAGAACTGCAAATCTGTCCCATTATCCACTGGTAATTTAAACGTGTCCAATATGCACACCAATCAGCTGGTGCCAACCTGGATAAATGGGGGGGATCCCACTCTACA